AAATGTATCTGATGTGCTGTGTAAAAATGTAGAGCGACAGCATGGCTGGGAGGGAGAGCAGAGTGTGAGCCTTACTCTGCGCCAGGCTTAGCCAGTTTCCAAGATTCTGTATGTGTGAGGATATGAAGTGAAAGTGAGGGCGAGACAGAGGTTGCATCAGTAGAATGGGGGACCCATCCACAGTCTGCCCAAAGTGAAGGGTAGAGACAGACTCAGCTTGTGGGTCCAGAGAGGATGTCCGCAGGGGAGCATACTGATGGGGGAACCAGGCAGGGCTAGATTAAGAGCCCAGTGGGCCTGGTGCTGACAATTATGATGGGGCCTAATTACAGAATTGTCACGGCCCCTGGCACGCCGCAAGGTGCGGTCGGACCGGTGTGACCGCGCCAACGAACTGAGCTTACCTGCTCAGTAGTGAGTCGGGAGCTGCTCTGCCGCCACACAAATACACGTTCTGCAGTCAGAGGCCAGAGGGATATTTAACCTAGGTGTAACAGGACTACAATTTCTGCCTGGACTCCTTTAACAATACATAACCTGGATATACAAAAGAACCGACTTGCTTGTTTCATGCGAACTACTATTGCCCAAAAACGAATCCAAACTACCGAACACCGGACCACCCTGAAGTGAAGTTAAGTGATATTTTACCTCCCAGACCGGCGCAGCCGTTCGCATGGTTCAGCACGAATCCTTTGTGTAAAGTATAGGTGGCCGCCATTTCAGGACTTTGCACGTGTTCGCGGCCATCTTACGCACGAACAGCTGTGTTTTGCCATCAATCGTGTGGAACTAAAAATGGATACGCAAACAGGTGAACACCGCTGAGACCTCCGTGACAACGTAGATTCGTGCTGAAACTACCGAACAGCCGGCCGTTTGGTAGAAAGACTAAACCATGCATGGGGATTCTGGCGAATACCAAGATAGCTGTGGATGGCAAGATTTTCGTGTGTTTTCAATGCACGAATGGGGACCGACCGCAAGGCCAAAACTTGTGGAACTATTTTTGTCTAGAAAGTCTGTGATGGGGCCTGGAGACACTTGGGGACACTGGGAGACATCCTTCACTTACCTGAGCTGTAGGCTGTCTCTGCAGGCTGGGAGCTGCTGTCTGTACTCTCTGTGCTGTGTAGTGCTCCCCCGCAGATCAGTGAGTGGAGAGAGGCAGGGAGGGATATGCTGTAACTTCCTATCCCTGCCCCTCTCCACACACAGTGACCCCTACTGGCTGGTGCTGGTATTACAGAGTAATCTCCATTTATACTGAGAAAAATACCTGCCATGTGAAAGCACATGTATTACTGCAATACCGGCATGGCCAGGCAGCCTCAAATACCAGTCAGGTGGCAAACCTAAGAGTAGTGTGTGTAAGGAAAAAAAAGTAAATTTTTTTTTTTTTTTTAAATGGGCCTGGGCCTGGAGCTCCACCTGCCCCTATGTTAATCCAGCCCCGCTGGTGACTATAGTGTCCCTTTAAGCGAGATGTGTGTGTGTATAACGGATGTGTTCTGGGGAGACTGTTTAGGTGAGCCTGTATAATGTTGCTAATGAGATTAACCCTTGGAGTGCCTCAATGTACTGTAAAGTGTACACAGCAGTAGGTAGGCGACTAAGGTGACTAATCAAAGAAAACTTAAGCTATAACATAAAATTAAATTGCCGCATGGGTGTAGAAGGACCTAGTAGAGCACCATGGTGCCGGTTGTGACAGAGAACTGTGTCCTTGAGGCATGCAGGTGATTGGAGTGGCATGTCCATGTCAGCCAATGCCTCGGGGTTGAATCATTTTGAGACTGGAGAAGTCATTATAAGTTGCATTTTCAGTTGAATCTGGGTTAACCACTGGAACAATTTGTTGTGTTGAGCTATTGTTTTTGTTTAATGCGCTCATTGCAAACAGATGAAAGTCTGTAAGCCTGCTTTTCAGTGGGGGTTGAATCATTTTGATTAGAACTGTATGTAGTACCAGTGTGTATTGCCAAATACTCAGAATCTATATTGTTTATAGGAAGAAGGATCAGATGAAGAAGGCAAATAAAGGGACAGAAGTGAATGAGAAAAGGCTGTTTCATGGGACCGACAGTACCTTCATTACACCTATTTGTCATGAAAACTTTGACTGGCGAACCTGTGGGACTCATGGTACCCTGTATGGACAAGGTAAGTGTTGAAGCTTGTAGCATGATGAAATGGTTTGGTATACTTCATTAAATATACACTCCAACCACCATAACCACAACAGATAGCTTTCAGTGTAAGTAGTCCACAATTGTAGAAAGGTTTCACTTACCTGGTGTCTGCTAGAGCTGCTCTCCATCCCATTAATTCTGAATGAAAGCCAAAAGATGGTGCGGGGCGGGACCGCCGAGCTGGACGGTCGCAAGCAGGAGCAGCTCCTGCAATAAATCTATGATTCAACTGCAAAGACATGCTAAAACATGATTTTTCACTTTAATGCAGACCAACAGCGAGGGTGCCCAGAGCAAGGGGACTGCTGGGCCCAGGGAGAGGCTGGCTCATCGGGCTTCAGTTCCCTGGGGGAGAGACTCACGTCGACCAAACTGAGGCCTTCTCCGGTGGTGAGTGGGGCAGACGGCCGCTGCCCTGCTATCCTGCACCACAGACCCCAATCAGAGGCTCAACCCTGAATGGATCCGGCCCTGTTCCCTCCCCCTATGGACCGGGGGTGATCCCGGTCCTCACCCCATGGCCTGGACCGAGACAGCACAATCGAGGCTGGGGTTGCCGGGCGCTGCACTTAAGATGGCGGGCGCCATGTGTGCAAGCGGCAGGGGGACCACCTGCTCCCTCCCCGCGACCATGGATGGCAAAGTGGCTCCTGCCTCCCGACCCAGCAATGAAGCAAGGCGGAGAAACACTCCTCTCCCCCCTAAGTCAAGCCATCGCCACACTGCCAACGAGGCCCACACGAGCAGACAACAGCGGCAACATTGAGGAGCCGGAACACTGCGCAACGAACACTCCCGTCTGGGGTCACTGAGCATGCAGCCAAGCAAGACACATCTACGGAAGAACAGTCCCTGCAAACACTCTCCACCCAGACCAACCAGAGAAGACCCAGCAGGCGGCGAACCCACGAGAGTAACATTCAAGCCTCCCACTATGGCTGACAGCAACCTCAAGAGGAACGACAGAGGCTAGAGCAACACACCATGACTGCAGCCCAGGAGAACTCACTGCGGAGCAGAGATAGACTATGCCTGGAAGCTTGCTGGGCCTGCTATGCCGGACACACATTTGCTGCCACACAAACTGCAGTGCAGATATCGGACGGTGCTGGGACTCCTCCTGTCTGTGTGGCCTCGAGGCCGCCCAGAAGACGACACAATCCACCGAGACAGCCCGGGTAACCCCGACCAACAAGGGTGAAAACTTTTATAAAGTGACTTAAATAGACACAACCTGAATGTAACCCACAGTCTAACTGCAACAACGTTAGCACAAATCTTGCATCTCATATGGTAGACAGGTACTTGGCCACCTAGCTTGAAATTGATGTCATATGTTTAACAATATACCAGCTAATTTAACTTGTGTTCACTGCATAAGTATATCACTAATGATATTATTTCAATATGGTTCCTGAAAACGTTTAACATCTGGCAGTCGCAGCAATGTTATGCCAAATGTCCCTGCTTTACTCGTGTTCCATTACCACTCATGTTTTACTACTACCTATTTGCACTTTAAATATAAAAACGTGCGAATGTCTCTACATACCCCACTGTCACAAATGTTATTGGTATAAGCGAGTGGAATGCCTTTGGGGTACCACAAGCATATCTGTTAAGCCTATATGCACGGAAAAATAAAGAATAAAAAAAAAAAGAAAGCCAAAAGTTGGTAAGCAGAAGCCTCCACTGGTTCTACTGAGCTAAGCTCTAGCAAACAGTGACAGTTGCTGGGCTTAGTTCAGTCAGAAAGCTTTTGGCTCTCTATTGGAAGTAGTGGAGGCAGAGAGCTGCATCCGCGGGACCCCAGGTAAGAAGGCAAACCATTCTAAAACGGTTGACTACTTAAAATGGTCGAGGCATCATGGTACTCCTGTAGTAGTTATGGTGCTTGGAGTGCTCCATTAAACAATAAAGTAAGAGAACCAGATGGACCTTTGTAAGTCTTTGTATTGGCTTCCCATTGTCTAGAATACATTAGCTCTGCATTTGGAATATATATATATATATATATATATATATATACATACACACACATACACACACACACACTCACTCTTGCTCGGATGGTCAGCAAGTTGTAGTAGTATTTGCAGGATTTCCAGATCTATTTATAATACTGCTCTCGCTTTTTACCTTACAGGAAGTTACTTTGCAAGAGATGCCTCTTACTCTCATAACTATTCACCAAAAAACAGTGAAGGTAAAAGAACAATGTTTGTGGCTCGTGTGCTAATAGGAGATTTTATTACTGGGAATTCTACTCTAAGACGACCACCATCCAAATCTGGGAGCATGACCCACTTTTATGACAGCTGTGTGGACGACACATACCAACCGACCATCTACGTGGTGTTTGAAAAACATCAGATTTATCCAGAATACCTTATAGAGTATAAAGAGGAGGAGAAGAAGTCCTGCTGCATTAGCTAAACGTGTCAATGTCTGACTTAATGGAACGACTGTATGAAGCAAAAATATCAGGAGAATAAATACTACAACATTATTTAAATACTTTAAATATATTTGCCACTTTCCCTAAAGAAGTTAAACTGTTTATGTATAAATTGTGATGTTCAATAGAAATTATGAACATAGTATCTAAACCATGCTCTCCTCAAAATTGGCTATTGTTGCCACCATGCACCATGAAATCACATTCTTAAAGGGATTCTCCAGTGCCAGGAAAACAAATCCGTTTCCCTGGCACTAGAGAATCCTGGAGTGCCCTCCCGCCCCCCATCCCATGTCGCTGAAGGGGTTAAAACCCCTTCAGCCACTTACCTGAATCCAGCTCGGATGTCTCTCGGCGCTGGGTCAGGCTCAACCCATGCTCCTCCCCTACCGAGGTCACTCGGCTGGGGAAACCTAATGCGCATGCGCAGCAATGGCCACGCGCGCATTAGACCTCCCCATAGGAAAGCATTATTCAATGCTTTCCTATGGGGAAATACAAATAACTATATATGACACAGGTCTTATGGCTTATATGCTGACTGTCTCCTCCTCCTTTGTGGCTCATAAGAACACAATATCACATATGGAGGGCTTGTTCAGAAGCCAGTGTTCTGTGTATATAGAAACGAAAAATTTAAAACGCTTTCACGCAAAATAGTTTTTGAGCGTGAGCGTTTAGCTAGAGAAATAGTTAACAATGTTAAATATGCACTTAACCAAATCGTAAAGAGAGCAGGTGTTTATTATCAAAGCCTGTTGGCTAAACCTATATTAGAGACTGATATCCACATTATTCTGGTAATTAACATACCAAACCATCTCACCTAACTTCTTAACAGTGCGATAATTTGCACTACTTAATATGTACCCTGATATTTAGATAATTCCCTTACATTGGCAAATAAATGAATAGCGCCAGATATTGAAATGGTACAACTATAATGGTTTCCATAAATCAGTCAGAGGTTTAGCCAATAGGCTTTGATAATAAACACCTGCTCGCTTTACTATTTAACATTGTTAACTATTTCTCCAGCTAAAGGCTCACGCTCCAAAACTATTTTGCGTGAGAGCATTTTGAATTTTTCGTTTCTATTTTCAATATAGGGGTTAAGCCCCGAGACATTACTGGAGGGTCTCTCTGGTGATCTAATTTAGTAAGGGTGGACCTGCAAGCACTGCCCACCTTAGCTGAATATATTTTCATATTCAGTGATCGGTGTACACCTGTTATCCAACTGCTTAAAGACTGCACTGACATCCCTCCAAGACTACTGGCTGTACAGAATGGCAAAAGTTACAATACATGTGTCTCTAAACACAAATTATGCTTGCTATACAGAATATATACAGCTTTGAAACTTTTTGTAGCAAAACTGATAAGGGATGGCTCTTTCTCTTCCTGTGAAATTAGTTGTGTATTCGTTAATAAACAATACACAAGATCCAGCGCACTCTCCTATCTACTAAACAGCAACTTCAATGTTGACAGATTTGATTAGTTTTTTTTAAAGTTTTTTCTAAAGTTTTTTTAAAAAAAAAACACCTAATCTAGACAAAAAATAATGGGGATTTAGTTACCTTATATGATCATACATCACCCCATAGTTACATTATATGATCATAGCAGCACCCCATTTAAGCATGTTCAGGTGAGTGCAACCACCCCCCCATGTTTCATATATATATATATATATATATATATTTGGGAGTCTAGCCAACTCTGTGGTTTTGCATCCCTCCCTGTTGCAGGTGCCTCATTTCAGGTCTCAGGTCTCTATTGTACCGCAGAGAGCCTCAGATGGAAAGTGAGTGAGTTATTCACATAAAAGTAGACATTAGATTGTGAACCTGCCAAAGATGGGGTACATTGAAGTTGTGGCAGGCTTATGCAATGTATGATCATATAATGTAACTAAATCCCCATTATTTTTTGCCTAGATTAGGTGTTTAAAAAAAAAAAAAAAAAACTTTAGAAAAAACTAATAAAATCTGTCAACATTGAAGTTGCGGTTTAGTAGCTAGGAGAGTGCAGTGGATCTTGGGTATTGTTTATTGTATAATATGGCCCCCAGCAGCACGCCATTTAAGCATGTTCAGGTGAGTGCAACCACCCCCCCCCCCCTCATGTTTCACAAAATGAGTTATATGTAGAAGGTTTGCTATAATTAAAGGATCACTATAGTGTCAGGAAAACAAAGCGGTTTTCCTGACACAATAGTGCTCTGAGGGTGCCCACCTATGGACGCTCTGCACGATGGAGTCATAATATGCCTCCAGCGTCGCAGATGCGCCTCTAGTGGCTGTCCGGAAGACCGCCACTAGAGGCTGGTTTAACCCCAAATGTACTGCTATGTTTGCATCTGAAGGGTTAAAACCTGAGGGACCTGATACCCAGACCACTTCATTGAGCTGAAGTGTTCTGGGTGACTATAGTGTCCCTCAGGGCCGGACTGGGAGAAAAATTCGGCCCGGGCATTTTTTTAACACAGCGGCCCACTAAGAAGGGGGCGGGGGCAGAGGAGGTGTGTTTTGTCATCACCAATGACAAACACGCCCCCTCTCAAAGTGAGCATGTTGGTTCAATGCTCTTCCAGGGCAGACCATGCGCAGAGCTCTGCTGAAGAGCTCTAGCATGATAAAAAAAGCCCTGTATTTGTTCTGCACAGTGCAAGCAAATTTAATAACATGCTTGCACTGTGTTTCCTTGCAAATTGTCTCTGGTGTCTCTATAAAGATACCAGGAAACAAAAATGCCAGGAAAGAGTATTGTGCATGTGTTTGGAGCCTGCTTGTGGTATTGCGTGAGCTGATTGTGGTGCGGTATTGTGTAATAAGGTTGGTTTTAGTCATGTTGTGTTTGTGGTGTAATGTGATGCATATGTGGCTAGGGGCTGTAGAGAATGTGTGTATTGGGGATATAGCAAGTGTGTGCATACAGGCTATAGTGTGTGTGTGTGTGTGTATATAGGTGATGTAGTGTATGTTTAGGGGTGTAGTATGTGTTTGCTTACAAGGAATCTAGTGTGTGTATAGGGGATCCAGAGTGTGTATGTTAAGAGTGTGTGTGTATATATATAAATATATATTTGGAAGTATTGTGTATGTGTGTGGTGCAGTGTGTTGAGGGTGTTCTGTGTGTATGTGAGGGGTGCAGTATGTGTGTCTGAGGGGTGCGGTGTGTGATGTGTGTGAGAGTGCGGTGTGTGAGAGTGCTCTGTGTGATGTGTGTGTGTCTGATGAGTGTGAGAGTGCTGTGTATGATGTGTGTGAGAGTGCCGTGAGTGAGAGTGCCGTGAGTGAGAGTGCTGTGTGAGAGAGTGCTGTGTGAGAGTGTTAGAGTGCTGTGAGAGACTGCTGTGTGAAAGAGTGCTGTGTGTGAGAGAGTGCTGTGTGTTAGAGAGTGCTGTGTGTGAGAGTGCTGTGTGTGAGAGTGATGTGTGTGAGAGTGATGTGTGTGAGAGAGTGCTGTGTGTGAGAAAGTGCTGTGTGTGAGAGTGATGGGTGTGAGAGTGCTGTATAAATGTTAGAATGGATTGTGTGTGTAGGGGGGAGGGGGGCTAAATAAATAAAGTAGGCATTATGTCCCCCCCTCCCTTCTTACCTTTAGCCTGGGAGGGGGGGACCGGCACACTGATCCCTGGGACTGGGAGGGGGGGTTCCCTGGTGGTCCTTGTGGTGAGATCCGGTCGTTGCCATGGCAACGCGCCGGATCTCGCGAGAGGAACCCGGCGGAGCTCTAATTTAGAGCTCCGCCGGGTCCTCTCTCCTAGCGGCTGTCTCCCCCCCTCTCCCGCTGCCGCATTATACAGCATGTGGGCCGGTGAGGGAGATCTTTGATTTCCCTCACCGGCCCTTCATGGAAAACAGCGGGGCCGGCGCTCGGATAGTGCCGGCCCTGCATAGACCGGCAGGGGAGATCCTGGGAGCTCCCCTGCCGGCCTCGGCCCATGGCCACCGCGGCCCACCGGGCATTTGCCCGGTGTGCCCGATGGCCAGTCCGGGCCTGGTGTCCCTTTAATGAATACTAAACGAATATTGTTGAACATCTAGAGCGTGTGGATCATGTATACCTGTCTTCAGCCTTTGTATAACTTCTGCATATACCATGATGCACCCCTGGTGTCTCATCCATCAAGTGACCTTGTTCTTTTTTTTTTTAATTTTTTTTTTTTTTCACCACTGCCTTTCTACTTTGTTTTTTTTCCTCTCTTTCGTCCTTGTTTCTTCTGTGAAAAACAGTTTAAAAAAAAGTTTATTAATCAAAAGGTTATTACTACCCTATGTATCTGCGGTTTACAAGTACTGACTTGGACTGTATTAGCTACACAGTTATTTAACCTTCTTTTACTGTTTTAAAATATAATTTATTAAAATGAAAAACAATTAAAATCTGAATGACACTTTATTTCTCAGTGAGGTTGATAGACCAAAAAAGGAACAAGCTTATCCAATTTGAGATTTTTAGTTGTATGACTCTTTTTCTTTCTTGCTGGTTACAGAAAATGACACAAAGCGCCAGTTTGTACGCTGCTGATCTTGTTTTTAATTTAAAATAACAGTTAGAAATGAACCAACTTTGGACAAATGTCACAAAAACACACTGAACATGTTTATACAAATAGATACATTGCATTAATTTTTCTTATTTTTATGTTGCAAACTCATGCTACAAATGTTAAATTAATCTACACTCAATGAAAAAGCAAAAAAAAAAAAATAGATTTTTATTATATCACTACAAATATATTAACCAGGAAAAAAAGATATATCACATTGACATAAATATTCAGACACTTTGCTATGAAACTTGAAATTTAGCTCAGATGCAGTCAATTTCTCTGGATCATCTTTGAGATATTTTTACACTTTGATTGGAGCCCTCTAGTGGCAAATTCAATAGGAATTTCTTCAAAATTTCCACCATACCTTGTGTCCATTTTCTAACTCCCTACACACACCTTTAACTTTCTTCATACCCCCTCCCCTCCCCTCCTTCATTCTGTCTCTCTCTATACAGTTGCAAGAACAAGTATGTGAACCCTTTGGAATGATTTGGATTTCTGCACAAATTGGTCATAAAATGTAATCTGATAATCATCTAAGTCACAACAATAGACAATCACAATCTGCTTAAACTAATAACACACAAAGAATGAAATGTTGCCATGTTTTTATTGAACACACCATGTAAACATTCACAGTGCAGGTGGGAAAAGTATGGGAACCCTTGGATTTAATAACTGGTTGAACCTCCTTTGGCAGCAATAACTTCAACCAAACGTTTCCTGTAGTTGCAGATCAGACGTGTACAACGGTCAGGAGTAATTCTTGACCATTCCTCTTTACAGAACTGTTTCAGTTCAGCAATATTCTTGGGATGTCTGGTGTGACGCACTTTCTTGAGGTCATGCCACAGCATCTCAATCGGGTTGAGGTCAGGACTCTGACTGGGCCACTTCAGAAGGCGTATTTTCTTCTGTTTAAGCCATTCTGTTGTTGATTTACTTCTATGCTTTGGGTCATTGTCCAGTTGCAACATCCATCTTCTGCTGAGCTTCAGCTGCTAGACAGATGGTCTTAAGTTCTCCTGCAAAATGTCTTGATAAACTTGGGAATTAATTTTTCCTTCGATGATAGCAATCCCTCCAGGCCCTGACGCAGCAAAGCAGCCCCAAACCTTGATGCCCCCACCATCATACTTCACAATTGGGATTCTGTTGGTGTGATGTGCCTTTTTTTCGCCACACATAGTGTTGTGTGTTTCTTCCAAACAACTCAACTTTGGTTTCATCTGTCCACAGAATATTTTGCCAGTACTGCTGTGGAACATCCAGGTGCTCTTGTGCAAACTGTAAATGTGCAGCAATGTTTTGTTTGGACAGAAGTGACTTCCTCTGTGGTATCCTCCCATGAAATCCATTCTTGTTTAGTGTTTTATGTATTGTAGATTCGCTAACAGGGATGTTAGCATTTGTCAGTGACTTTTGTAAGTCTTTAGCTGACACTCTAGGATTCTTCTTCACCTCATTGAGCAGTCTGCGCTGTGCTCTTGCAGTCATCTTTACAGGACGGCCACTCCTAGGGAGAGTAGCAGCAGTGCTGAACTTTCTCCATTTATAGACAATGTGTCTTACCGTGGACTGATGAACAGCAAGGCTTTTGGAGATACTTTTATAACCCTTTCCAGCTTTATGCAAGTCAACAATTCTTAATCATAGGTCTTTTCACATCAGGCAATGCTTCTTGTGAAAAGCAAACCCAGAACTGGTGTTTGTTTTTTATAGGGCAGGGCAGCTGTAACCAACACCTCCAATCTCATCTCATTGATTGGACTTCAGTTGGCTGACATCTCACTCCAATTAGCTCTTGGAGATGTCCTTAGTCTAGGGGTTCACATACTTTTTCCACCTGCACTGTGAATGTTTACATGGTGTGTTCAATAAAAACATGGCAACATTTCATTCTTTGTGTGTTATTAGTTTAAGCAGATTGTGATTGTCTATTGTTGTGACTTAGATGATTATCAGATCACATTTTATGACCAATTTGTGCAGAAATCCATATCATTCCAAAGGGTTCACATACTTTTTCTTGCAACTGTATATACCCTCCATTCCTAATGGTATAATCATTCTCTCCCTACCCTAGATAAATGGTAGAAACTACCCAATGCAAATGTGCAAAGCTTGTCACATCATACCCAAAAATACTGGAGGCTGTTATAGCTGTTAAAGGTGCTTCAACTAAGTACGTAGTTAAACTGAGTTAAGGGATTAAGAATTTATGTTAATGTCATATTTCAATCATTATGGGATACTGACTCTGAGTGTAGTTTACTGTGAAAAAAATGAATTAATTAAAGAGTTGTAGCATAAGGCTGCCAAATAAGACTTAATACTTTCTCAATGCACTTTACCAGGTGGTATTTTCTGTATTCCTTATTTTCAGGTTCTTTACCAGAGGCCTGAGGGTTCTGCACAACATCTTTCATGTCCAGATGAGTGCAGTTTTGGTGTCCCACCTGGTATCTGATGAAGCCACTCTCCCAACTTTACAGCTACAGCCCCAAGTGGTCCTATCATTTCTGGGACTATTACTGCTTGCACTCTCCACATTTTATCTGGCTTCTCTTTCAGTCCTTGTTATTTGTCCACCTTCCCAGGTTATTCCTTTTTAATGTTATGGTCACTGGCTATCACCACATATACCATTGCAGTCTTCTGTTCTGATATCAGGTTGGTTGGCCAATACTTGCTAGTCTGTCTGAATCTATAAGTCACACAGGATCTTAGCCCTGTCATTCTCAACTATATTTTGAGGTACTTGACATCAGATTCGATCCTGTCACGTATTCATCTGCAAATAAAAAGGTGATTAATGACATTTACTGTTCTGACAGGAAAAGTTGTGCCGAGCAACATTACTGTCCTGACAGGAAAAGTTGTGCCGAGCAGCAATCAAATCCACAGGAGGGTTTGTACTGAGCAGCAATTATACAAATGGGAACCTGGTAACTGCCTTTAGGGTCAAAGGCCGATTACAGCCTATCAGATCCAGAGGAGGGGTATTTAGGCCCAGTTCTCATCCTGCTCAGTGCCCTGTCGTGGTTTACCTAGTGGTTGTCCGAGAGCGCGTTCCTGATTCCACTTTCTTCTGTTTTTTTACTTTGGCTTTGATTTTGACTTCCCTGTATTCTGGAATCTCTGACTTCTGGCTTTCCTATATCGTTGTGTCTATTTCTGTATTCCCTGACCTCAGCAAGTATCCTGACTACTCTTTGGTATGTTAAGTCCGGCCATTCTAAGGCTCAGAAATACGTTACCTATTAGTCATCTGTGTGACACAATTCTACATGCTGGATCAACTAGTAATCCTGACAGATCCATATTATGCGCAGGTGATTTGGTACACAATTCCAGTAATGTGGTTGTGCCTCTCAATGTATTCTGTCTCTGCTGGATTGTCTTGGAGGGCTCTTTGCACAGTCTGCACTAACCACTAGTAGGATTTTCATAATTTGACCCACATCCACAATGTGTTTTTCATCTAGGACTGTGGCTTTGACACATATTAGTCCCAGACCTCCTTTCTTATGGCTGGAGGTCTGGGTCTGGTGCTGGATTTCGGGTGGAATCCTCCATTCATAGTGTGTAATTACTGGGATTTGATATGCATGGTGTCCAGGTCTTCACTTAGATGATGTTATTATTCTAGCTGGATACTTAATGTTACATATGTTGATGGTGTGGATCTTGGCTGCCATGTGTTTGTGGTATATCCAAGTACGTATGTCTCATATTTGGCAATCTAGCACTTCCACTTCATCAGTCCTGTTCATCTTCCCTCTTTTTTCTATCATCCACCCACATTCCGATGTCCTTGCGGTATATATCATAGTTTGGTGGATCAGCAATGTCTAATTCATTCTAGGTGCACAGCTTGATGTCATCCACGTAGAACAGGTAGCTCCACTTTTGATCCTGTATCCATATCCATTATTCACG